TTTTCTTTTTTTTTTTTTTTTTTTTTTTTTTTTTTTTTTTTTTTTTTGTACTGAGGACCGAACTCTGGACTTTTGCACTTTTGCACTTGCGAGGCAGGCAGCAGAATCACTGAGCTAAATCCCTGACTCTGTTGGGTTTTTCTTTCATAAAAATATATTTTATCTTTGGTACTGGGGATTGAATTCCGGTCCTCGCGATTTTAAGGCAGGCAGGTAATGAAAATGAGTTAAATCCCTGGCCCCCAAAACAAGACATGTTTGTTGTCTTACAGTTCTTTTTTTGGACTGGGGTTTGAACTCAGGTCCTTGTAATTGTGAGGCAGGTAGTGGAACCACTGAGCTAAATCCCCAGCCCTTGTTTTTTGAGACAGGGTCTCATCTCACTATATATCCCAGGCTGGCCTTAAACTCAGTGATCCTCCTGACTCAGCCTCTTGAGTGCTGGGATTTCAGGTGTGCAGCACCACACCTGGCTCACCGGGATAGATTCACCTAACTTCATCATTTGGAGATGACACCGGGTTCTCAGAGATGGTGGCACATCCTCGTAATCTCAAGCACGTGGGAAGCTGATGCAGGAGCACTGCTGTGAGTTCAAGGGCAGCCTGGGATATACAGTGAGACACTGTCTCAAAAAACAAAAAGAGGGAGGGGAGATCGAAGGGAGGGCAAAGGATTGTGAGAAAATGAGGAATCGGGACTTAGGCTATTAGTGGTAAGGAATGGTACACAACCATATTACTTGGCCTTCTCAGTCTATCTGGACACATTTATGCTGACCAATCAAGGAAATAAGGTTGCTCTGTGCATTTCTCATCATCTCATCATTTTTCATCATCTCTTCAGATTTAATGAAGGTTTCAAAATTACTGGGCAAACCAAACAAAGTGGTTCAGTGCAAAAATAAATGTGATTATTCTTTTTCACAAGGAGACGTGAGCCGGGTGAGGCAGTCTGTACCTATAATCCCAGCACTCAGGGAGCCTGAGCATTTCAGTGAGACCTTATCTCAAAAAATAAAAATGAGCCACCAGGCATGGTGGTGCACACCTGCGATCCCAGCACTCGGATCGCGAAAGTGTGAGGTCAGCCGAGACTACAGCCAGACCCCATCTCAAAAAAAATAAGAAAAGGGCTAGGGGTATAGTTCAGTGGTAGAGCAACCCTGGGTTTGATCTTCCATATTTCCGCCTCCCTCCCCACAACAAAAACCAGAAAGAAAGAAAAAGAAAAAAGTTTACAGGGTGGTACAGTGACTGCCTGGCAAGTGCAAGGCCCTGGGTTCAGTGCGCAGCACAGATACAAGCACCACTCCACAAAGAGACAAAGGTTTTGATTGCATTGAGGTGGGTGGATTACGTTGCTGACTATACACATGGCCCACAGAACCTGGAGTCGAACATCACTTGTACCTTTAGAACATTCATAGACTGGGATTAAGAACTGGTTGACGGGCCAGTGATTTAATTCAAGGCACCGAACCTGCAAGGTCCTGAGTTCTATACCCGGTACCAAAATACAAAGAGAAGCAATCGCAGTAAATTGCTGATTCACACTGTGGTGCACGCCTGTAATCTCAGAGTCAACACGCTGAGGCAGGCGGAGGTCCGAGGCTACATAAGGAGTTGAAGAACAGCCTGGAATACGAAGTAAGCAGGATCACCACATGTGTGAGGCCAGCCCGCGACTGCACTACAAATCGAGAATATCACAAAAAACCAAAACAAACCAAACGGAAAATTAATTTAAGTCAACATCATGCGCTCCTCCTGCCTCAGCATCTACAGTGCTGGCGTTACAGGTGTGTGCCACCAGTTTCACAGCACAGAATTGAGGATTTCAATAATCCCAAAGTCCTTCCTTTCAGCAAAAACACCATGATTAAAAATATGATTTAAATTTGGCAACAAAGGCTTGTTTTATAACATGTTACAAAGACACTGATAATGTTTAATAAACATCACCTACACGATATCTAAAAATGTACAACATAAGATTTGTCACAGCAGTGATCACAGAAAAGGACTGCAGCCTAGGCATGGGGTGACAGAGCTTCCTGATGGCATAGCCCCACCGCGCGTACCACAGTGCTCCCGTTATTCATGTTGTGGATGTCCCGATGCGGATGTGCACAGAAGTCCAGGCAGGCAGTGACCCCGGAGAAAGGACGACCTTCCTTGCGACCAAGCCGGCATTCTCGAGCAACATGTTCATTTTCCACCTGAAAAAAAAGAAACACAAGACACACCTTTAAGAGACAGAAAAAAAATCGTTTTTAATAAACAGCAGAATTAACTTGCTTAATTTTGTAATTTCTGACCACAGCGTATTGTTGTAATTAATGTGAAGCTTAGCAACAGTCAAAGAAAGTGCTTGAGAATACACAGTCTAAAAGCATAACCACCGACTGCATGTGAAGGTTGAGTGAGGACCTGCATTCCTGATAGTGGGTGGCTAAAAAAAATAGCCTAAATGATTCCATTAGAAATAAAGGCTTTAGGCTGGCGATTTAGCTCAGTGGTTCCACCTCCTGCCCCAAAAGGACAAGGTCCTGAGTTCGATCCCCAGTACCAATATAAAAAAATAAAACAACAACAACAAAAGAAATGAAGGCTTTATTTGGCACTTGGGTGGCTGAGCCAGAAGGATTGCTGTGAGTTCAAGGACAGCCTGGAATATGCGAGAATCTGTCTCAAAAAAATCAAACAAAATAAAACAACACAAAAGCACATAAATTACAGCTGCAGTTTTTAGTGTCAATGAAAAGTAGAAATGTATACATTTTTTTCCAGGGTTGGGAATCAAGCCCAGGAACTTGGAAATGCCAGCCCAGCACTCTGTCACTGGATTACATCGCCAGTCTAGAGCTCTTTTGAAAATGAAGAGCTATAGCTCCGTTCAGTGAGGTGCCCTACACACTCCCAGATGCCCGGGAGGTTGATGTAGGAGGATCATTGGAGGCTGGCCAAGGCAACAAAGTGGCCTGTATCTAGTTAACTAATTAATTATAAACAAGAAAAGTTGGAATTTAACAGAGAGCATGATATTCGCAAGAATCCAAATAAACCAAAGATTTTTAAGACAATAGACTTCTGATGCTGAGTGTATATTACCAGGTTTAATATCTAGCACCATATATATTTTTAAAATTTCACTTATTTTCAATTTATATATGGTTTACAAATAACTTCTGACATTCTGGAGATTCTTCTCATGTGTAAGGTCCTGGGCTCAATCCTTAGCATGTCCCCACAAAGTAGAAACAGTCATGATTCTGCCACCCTGGGATTTTAATCAAACTGCTACAACAGGATGACATATTTTAAAGTACTAGATGAATTATAAAGCTATTCAACAAAAATTATATACTAAAGTTCAAATTTGAAAAGTTTCCTATTAAAATGAGGCCTTTCCTTCTTTTCCCTCTTTTCTTTCAACAAGGCCTCACTGTGTTGTTCAGGCTGGCATTCAGCTTTGTGGCCCAGGCTGGCCTCCAACTCGAGGTGATCTTATCTCATCCTCCCAAGTACTGGGATTACAGCTGTGCACCACCATGCCCCACTCTACACAGAGCTCTAAACCATGCTGAAGAGCACTGTCTAAGGTTCTAAAACATACCTGGTTTTGGTAAGCAACCGGAGCATATTGCTTATAAATTGGAGCTAATTCTGTAGCCAGATTCTGTAAATTATCTTCCAGGTTCTTTTCCTATAGGAAAAGACAGTCCATCTAAGTTATTTTATAATGACATCTAAATGAGTGTAAGATATGAAACTGCATTAGGAATAATTGCTGGGCTGGGGATTTAGCTCAATGGTTCTGTCTCCTGGCTTGCAAGCACAAGGTCCCAGAGTTAGATCCCCAGTACCCCCCCAAATAAATAAATAAAAATTGCTCATGTATAATCTATACTTACCATAGCAAAATATCTACCACAGAAAAATCAGTCTTTGTCTTAACCTGAACTACTTATTAGGGATTGTTATGCCTAATTACATCTCTTAAAATGAGAATTGTTGTACACTGCCTAGAGGAAATCTAAATATTGTTGAAGATAAAGTTGCCCAAGTGGCTCATGTCACTAAGAATGAGAACCACAGTTTATATTTATATTTATTAAACAATATTGGGTACTTGAAATAAATGAAGACTTAATGTGATCCCGGTGATAAAATATGGTAACAGAAAAGGGAAAAACATGCATAAAATGCAAAGGATGCACCACATCCCATGCTATGAGTCTTAAATATAATAAATATGCCCTTTAAATAATACCATGAACAGTTATTCTTTTTAGAATGGTAAGTTCGGTATGATACGTTTAGTAGCTACTTCAGCTACTAGATCAAAAGTAATAAAAAAAACTACTGTAAACTGGGTGTGGCTGTACCTACCTGTAATCTCAGCACTTCGGGAGGCTGAGGCAGGAAGATCCCAAAAATCAAGTACAAACTAAGCAATTTAGAGACCCAGTGAGACCCCGTCTCAAAATAAAATAAAGAACTAACAATATGGCTCAGTGGCAACAAAATAAAACAAAAGGAGATTAAAAAAAAAAAAGTAATCAAGTTGGGGTTGGGGATTTAGCTCACCTGCCTTGTAAGTGCAAGATCCTGAGTGTGATCCCTGCTACCGAGGGGGGGAAAAAAGTAATCAAGTGGGCAACTAGTTGTCTACAACCAGTGCTGTGTCTTCTTCACCTGAATGGCTGCAAGCTGAGTGAGGACTATGAGGGCCATTGACACTGCCTAAGAAGCTGGGTTGCTAGAGACTTTTGAAAACAGGAGTCTCTGTTACAGACAGAGGTGACCATGGTAGGAGGAATGACGGAGAGAAGAGAAGACCCTGGGAACAATAGTTGAAAGGCCACTGAAAGCTCTTCTGAAACGATTATGTTCTGTGTCAGGTTAGAACTCGAGAAATGAGCAAACACATTTAAGTTAGTCGCAAGCACACCGGGAGCAGGGATGGACAGGAGAAGGTTGAGGCTTTGCCTGGTGGCTTGAGCTGCTGGACAAAAGGCCATAAAGACAGCTGTGTGGAGGACCTCACTTCTCAGGGGCCCAAGATCGGATGAAAGCCAGAGCCATCCAAAAGGGAAGACTCTACG